AAACAAGTCACCACTACTCGCACAGTCCATCCCCCCCCCTTTATTCTCTCGCTAACGAAGTTAGAGGGTTTACCTCCTCGTCTTTTCCGCTGGGGGGGGGAGCGCTCTTAATTCTTTTTCTTCGCATTTGACAACTCACAGTTTAGCCGATCTTTTCTTTTTTCATTTCATCAGTTATTCGCTTTATCACTCGGTGACGTCTGGTGGCTCCGCTAAACCCCATGCGGGGTCGCTCACGCAGCAAGGTCCATTGGGGCAGGGCATGGCGAGAGTCTCGATTTCTGACCGCTCGGCCGAGAAAGAGACTCCGCCCTGGTGCGCCCTAACGCGCCCCGGATCCGAGCCCCTCTCCTGAGGTGCTCGTTCGGGTCTCCGCTCGCGCGGATTCCCTCCTCCACCGCAGGCGGGCGAGACGCCCTCGGGAGCGACCCGAGGATGCGTCCGCCACTCGCGGGAGCCAAACCGGAAGTCAGCAAGACCCCTTTCTGATTCAGAGAATCAGTCTCTAAAGGTCTGCCCCTCTTTGCTCCAGATCCCAGTCGTCACACTTGTCCCTTACCACGGATGTAGAGCTAAGATGAGAATTGACATCGGGGTCCGAATTCTTCCACTTAACAAAAAATTTTTAAAGCCAGTTCCTAGGCACTTATGTTTGAGAAAGGTACCCGCGGTGGAGGTGCAGAGCTTTCCAGGTCTTTGTGATTCGTTTGCCTTCAGCACCATCTCTGCCCTTACCATCATACTGTTCGGTGCAGAATTTTAATTTTTTAAAAAAATATCTGAATTCAATGAAACGGCTAATGGTGAGTTCAGAATAGAATGTGCAAATCACATCTTTTGTACACATTTCAGTTTGCCAAATATATCTCTTCTCAGAATATAAATTGAGGGGGAGAAACTAGTAGCGTAGATACTTCTAATGAGCTCATTGTACTTCGTACCAAACATCCAGTCATTTACATAATGTTTATTATGTCGTTGTTGATGACTTACATGATAATTATGATGAATGTGTAGCGAATATTTATGTAGCATTTTAAAGCATTCCAACAGTTTGGTCTGTCTTGTTAGCAATTCTTCCATTAGAACCTAATGTACAACAGCATTTCTATTCTGCATGTTCTAGCCGGAGTGGCTGAGGCCGGAGGCTACCTTGGGAGCTCAGAGCAGGGCAGGGATTTGGTCTGTGGACTTTGAGATTCTTGAGTTCTTAGCTGCTGAGCTGTGCCAGCTCTTAATGTAGCGTATAAATGTGCTTTTAAAAAAAAATGGATACGGTTCAAAATGAGAAACGGAGCATGAAACAAGGTACACAGCATGGAATAAATTTGCATCATGTGCCACAGAATAAGGGTGCATGCAGAGTTTAGGTCTTTCTGTCTGCAGCAACATAACTTCCTTTGCCAACGGTGTGTTTTCCCCCACAGGCCTGCAGCTCTGAACAAAATCCTTATTGAATGGCTGAGAGACGTTCACAAGAATGCTTCTCTGCAAACAGCTGCCAAGCTCTAAGCAGGACTCCCAGCACCCATCCTGCTTGAATCCTCACTGGCTGACTCTGGAGACTGCAGGGGGGGGGCAGGGATGATAGAAAATTGTTCTGTGAAAGCACTGGAAGTTGCATTGTTATTTTCGTATATATGGTATGCACAAATCTGCCTATTTAGTGCCTTTTAATCCCTCCCTCCCTCCAAGGAGCTCGGGGTGGCATGAACAGTTCTCCTTTGCCTCTTTTGTCCTCCTTATCCCAGCAACCCTGGAAAGCAGGTGAAGCTGAGACAGAGTTACTGGCCAAATTTGCCCAGCAAGGTTCATGGCAGGGGCAGAGGAGCAGGAACTGGGAATTCCAGATCCTAGGCTGATAACTCTGCCTGCTGCACCACACCGACACTCAAAACAGAGCAAAGGGCACTTGCCCTCTCCGTGACCGCAAAGAACAACGACGTTGGATCCATTCACAGATCTCCAGATATCACATCTAGTTTGCCCTGGACTCAGAGTGGATGTCTTTCCCAGCCCTTTCACCAGTGACACTTTAGCCAGTGCTACCACTAAGCTACAAAGCTCACTGGGTGACACTGGGCCTGTCACTTTCTCTCTGCCTGTCCTACCTCACAGAGTTGTCGTAGGGACAAAATCTAAGATTGGAGAATCATGAGCTCCTTGAAGCAAGAGTGGAATAAAAAATGTGCCAAAGGAGGCTGGATCTCTGTAAGCATGTGGGGGAACTGAGAACGTGGGTATTAAATGCAGAACTGAGCTTCTGGCAAACCTCGGCTCTTTGAAAAGTTTCTCGCACTTAATGGCAGCAGGGAATCTTTTTGATGGTAGGAGTAATTTGTGTTTGATATCTCAGGAGTCAAAGAAATTCCCAAAGGTTTCTAGTAACCTGGGATCGGATACTTGTGGTTCCTGCAAAGCTCCTTGTCTAGAAGGATCAAAACATGCACACAAGTGGGTATGACTATGTAGGTAGCAGAATTCAGCTTTTCCTTGGCACAGAATTCGGTTTCCAGAATCTTTATGTACTGTCCAGCTTTAACGGGAGATGCCAGGCCTTAAGTCTGGGGCCCTCCTTGTATGCATAAAGCAGACAGGCCTCCCTGCGCAGTTGCTCCCAAGTGCCTGCAGAATCTGGCACTTTCTGGGCGTCTGGGTTTTTCATTACCAGCAAGTTCCTGCTAACTGCTTTTATTGCTAATAAAGTATTTTTCTTCAGAAGACTGGTCACTGGAATAAAAGTTTATGAACGGTATTTTTATAGTACTTGGAAGTCTTTTCCTGGGACGTAGGAAGAAACAAGAAAGTGTTGTTTGGGGAAAGTAGTTCCTTTTCCTCATTGGGGGCTGCTGCAGGGATCTGTTCCATTGTTCCTGTGAGTGGCTGCGGGTATAGATGGAGTCGCCTTATCCCATGTCAGAAGACCATTGGCCTGTCTAGTCCAGTGCTTGTTTCCTCTGATTGGCAGCAGCTCTCCAGGATCTTGTGCCAAGAAATGTCATTCCCAACATCTGCAGCAAGGGTTGCCAGGTCTGGCTTGAGAAAATCTTGGGGACACAGTGCCTGGGTCTGGCAGAGTGGAGGGAGCTTAGCAAGGATGTGACGTCATGTTCTGTGATGTCACATCCAGGTTAAAGGTTAGCCTCTCTAACCACCTCTTCCTGTGAAATCACTTCCCACCAGGATCCAATTTTTAAATTTCCCTTCTCAAATCGTTTTCCCCTGCTTTTTCCCCTCACACCTTACATCAGTTACATCGATGTCATACAAACTGTGTGATCCTAAATATTTGTCCTGGTATAACTAGCTGCTGTCCAGTATTCAACCTACAAAATCTCTCAAAATTCTCTTCAGGTTCTTCTCGGTGTTAGGCAAAACCACCCATTCTGAAGACCAAGAGAATGATGCCAACCAACAAGTCCCACCCCTCTCTGTTCCCAACTGGCCTTTAGTGTCTTTACAGGCAACAGTCAGTTTCTCTCAGTCTCTATGGTATCCTGTAGGAGAAGAGCATTCACCCTCTGTAAGCCACTCTTGGACTTCCATTTCTCTTAGACTCTACAGTGTACCACAAAGTCTGCCCTCCTGACTGGCTATTTCCTCAGGGGAAACTGATCTCTACAGACTGAAGATTAGTTGTAATTTAGGGAGAACTCCAGACCTCACCTTGAGATTGGTAACCTTTTGTTACCAACCTTACAGGCACAGTTCCGCAGGGCCTGTAAGACGGCGCTTTTCTGCCAGGCCTTTGCACAGGAGCCGCCGCCGCCATTGTGCCACCACCGAGTTGCCATCTGTGACGGTGGATTAGATCTATAAGTGAACCAGCCCTGGGAAGACGCCTAGGTGACCAAGAACTTATGTTGTCAGGCTAGGTTGATAAAAGGATCCCATCTTGGAGAGAGAAGTTAATATCTAGAGCACCGCACTTTATTTATTGATTGTTTTATACTGTTTTAACTGTTTGTTGTGGCATTTGCTGCTGTTGGAAGCCGCCCTGAGCCCATCTGGGGAGGGCGGGATACAAATCTAATAAATAAATAAATTTTGGGAAACCTGAAGTGCTTCTAACCAGAGGGCATGGCAAGATTTGACTTGGGACCTTTTGTGTGCAAAATCGGTGCTTTGCTACTGAGCCAGAAACCCTCCCTTGCTGCCTCAAACACCTCTGATGTTCAGGCTAGTAGTCATGTTCAGCTGCTGTGCCTGTTCCATGGGTAGAAGGAAGTCAGGGACGGGATGAAGGTCATCTCTACTCAAGGGAGCATCGCTCTTGCACAGCTGCAGCCCAGAATGGGGTGAATGCTCAGTAAAAACACACATTTTCTATACATTAATACAAGGCTAAAGCAACAGTCCTGGTTTGTGGGGAGAGGGAGGCCCTAGTGCTGCACCTAATCCTTGGGTCTGTTGTGGGGGAGGGGTGGAAGGAGAAATGCAGCAAGGGCATCTGGTGCAGCTTTGGGGGCTGCCCCTCCTCCCACCCCCATACCCTCTGGCCCCTCCTGCCACCCCCATACCCTCTGGCCCCTCCTGCCTTGCTAATTGGGGCTTCTCTACAGCTGGAAACATACCTGGTGATTTCCCCCGAATTTCTGGATGGGGACTCCGCTCCCTGACCCTCCTGGCTTGGAGCCATATTCATCCCGATAGTCATTCTTTGCAGCAGCCCTGAGAGGAGCAGAGGGCTCTAGAAAGTGGATGCAGAATGTGGGAGGGGAGCTAGTGGAGCTTCCTTGCATCAATCGGCCTGCAAGACTGGGTTTTTTTCCTGGCACTCGTTTTTGGCTAACAGCTGGATCTCTCTTGTGTACAGAAGCTTTTTCATCCAAGGGTAGTGAAAGCTCAATGTTGTGAGATTCAGTTTTTAATGCAATTGGAGTCATGCTGATGGAATGTTAGGGGGGACACAGTTCAGGTGAGTAGTTGTGTTCATCTGTCACAGTGGAATAAAATCCAAGTCCAGTCGAGGGGAGAGGAGAGGAGCATACTCGAGAAGTGATGTGTCACTGTGCCTGAACAAACCATAGCAATTTTTTGGGTACAGGAACGGGAGCTTTAACAGCAGCAATAGTCATATGAATTTTCTTGGCCTCTAACACAGACACAGCATTGTGTGGATTAGCTGAAGACTGTAACCTGGATTTCAGGTTTTATTCACTCTAAGAACAGTGGTAGAAAAGAGCAAGAGTCCAGTAGTGCCTTAAAGACTAACATCATCTGTGCCAGGGTATGAGCTGTCACGAGAAAGCTCATACCCTGCCACAAATGTTCTCAGTCTGCAAGGTGCTGCTGGACTCTTGCTCTTTTCTAGTGCTACAGACAGGCTAACATGGCTACCCATCTTGATCTAAGGACAGTGACACCAGTTGCTGGTGATGTTTGGTTTTCAGGAGTAGGGTGGGGAGTTCCCAGTTGCCTCTTAGGCTGGAGTGGGGTGGGATTGAACCACATGCGGTGGCGCAGGCAGTTTGATGCCTGCAATAACAACACTAGTGAACAGCCACTATGGCTGTTCGAGACCCACCGCGGCCGGGGTGAGCTCCCGGCCCTAGTCCCAGCTCCCGCCCACCCAGCGGCTCGAAAGTGTACTCACGAGTAGACAAATGGGTACCTGCCCTAGGTGGCAGGGGGCACCCTCTTCCTGATGGTGTGTGCCAGGAGTGCGGCGGCGGCAGTAATGGCGGCGGAGCAGTGGCAATCCGAGGATGGGGTGACGATGGATGGAGGCGGAGCTGTGACGGTGCGATGGTGTGAAGACGCAGCGCAGCAGAGCCTAAGGGACGTTAGCCAGAGCCACAGTCAGAGCAGCCGCCAGAGGAACTCCATCTGAAGCCTGCCAAGGATGCCGTCAGCCTATCCGAGGTGCCGGAAGCAACACCAGAAGCCCACCCGGAAACAACAACAGAACGCGCTGCTGGGTGCCAGTAGGCAGCCCCTTCCCATATGAATTGTGGCCCTAGATTAGGAACAATTAGTATATTCTCTGTAAACCGCTCTGAGACCCTTCGGGGTCAAGGGCGGTATATAAATCGAAAATATAAATAAATAAATTCTGCCCTTTTGCAATTCAAGCCAGGCTCCTCCAACAGAATATTCCCTTTGCCACTGAACAGCAATGAGATGTACCTTTTGTTTCCAGCTCTGTGGAAGCCACCTGGCTTCTGTGAGTGCATTAGTCAAAGGGGGGTTTGGGCAGTGGTTTGGGAGGAAGGTGGAAGCTGGCCGCATCGCCATACTTTGCCTGTGCCAAGTTGCATCAACACACTTTTTATGTGCCAAGTTGCATTGTATCACTGGCAGTCTTTAAGCAGCAGCTGGACAAACACTTGTCAGGGATGCTCTAGGCTGATCCTGCATTGAGCCGGGGGTTGGGCTAGATGGCCCCTTCCGACTCTGTGATTCTATGGTTCTGATTCTGTGAGTCCATGAAAGGCCCAGCTGCGCTTTTCCAACTTCAGATGCTCAAGACTCATGTGTGCCGGGATGCAGAGAAGTAGGATTTTTTTAAAATTGTTGTAGCCAGAGCTGATAGTGCCCTGAGCTTTCTCATTAGTGGTCCTAACCATTCTGGCCCCAATTTTCGTTTTCCTGGACTATCTTCCAAATGACACAAATGGGAACAGGCAGCTAAAGGTTGGCTTTACAATTCTGCATGGTAACCTGGAGAGACTGTTTATGGCAATTGGCCTTTTCACACTTGGCATTTGAGTGAGCTCTGCTCTCCCATCAAACACGGGGTGAAAACAGACATGTTCACAGACATAAAGGAGAGTTGAGGAGATGCTGATTGAAGACCAAATCCCACATCACAGATGCCTCACAAAATGCAGCGTGAGCAAGCCAGGAATCTCATGCTTTGCTTCAGCCACCTGCCCGGCCACTTCTTTACAACCCAGAGCAGGATATGAAGGGTGAGGTCACACTCATGGATTGCGACTGTGAGTGAGGACTGGTGCATCAAAAGACCACAGGCGGAACTTTAATAGCAGCTGTCGTCACCTCAAGCAGAGCAGTTCTCCAAGCAGCCACCGAGAGACGTAAAGGTAAGAGCCTGTGTTAGTCCGGGATGCATCAGAACTCCTGACTTTGGACAATGACAAAGCTAAGAGAGGTGTGAAGTTTTGCGTTCATCTGTGTATCCTTCTGCCGATCCCCTTACGTCCTTTGCTCTTGGCCAGGAGAAAGGCCCAGGCGAGCCCCATTTCATCAGATCACAGAAGCTAAGCAGGGTCAGCCCTGGTTGGTACTCGGATGGGAGACCAACAAAGAAGTCCGGGGCTGCTACACAGAGGCACCCAATGGCAAACCACCTCTATTTGGCTCTTGCCCTGAAAACCTTATGGAGTCACCATAAGTTGGGTGCAACTTGATGGCACTTTCCACCACCTCCGCCAGAAAAGAGGGGAAGCGCTGGGCTCTTTCTCTGACGCCTGCTTCTCACTCTGCCAAGACAGAGCGATACGACTCCTTCCTCTGCCTTTTGGGTCTTTCCAGTCCCTGTTTCTTGCTTGCCTTGCTTGGCAGCTGCTCTCTGCCACAGAATGACACAAGCCACTCAACCGTACCTCTTTCTCCAAAGAATGAACCCTCTGCAGCTGGGAGCCTTGGCAAAAAAAAAAAATTGAGGTGGCTCAGTGGTTGAGCATCTTTTTTGTTTGCACGCAGGTCTCAGCTTCAGTCCTCAACATGTCCATTATTATTTTTTTCAAAAAGGACCAGG